TCTGTCTGTCTGTCTGTCTGTCTGTCTGTCTGTCTGTCTGTCTGTCTGTCTATCTATCTATCTATCTATCTATATCTCTATCTATCTATCTATCTATCTATCTGAATCTAGTATGCGCATCCATACGCCCGGTGGTCAACTGAAGCCGTGCCTGCCTGACAGACGGTGGTCAACTTATGGAGTCTGGCAGACGCGGAATGGTTGTGTGGATGCTATGCTTGGCCTTTTTGGTGAGCGTGGATGCCAGGGAAGCTGCTTCAAGCAGCGATACCTGGGAAGGGCTGGAGTTTCTCACGGCCTCGCAACGGGCCGTCGATTTAGGAACGGAATTAGCTGATTCCAAACTGCCATTGCCGGTGGCGGTTGGTTCTACAGCTGCGGCTGTGTCGTTTGATGTGGATGTGACAGCTTTGTGCATCGCAGGCTAGATAAAGGACGAGTGGGATGCTCAGTCCGACTTTCTGGGTGTGTTTGGCATTGTCACGTCGGGCATCTTCCAGTCTGCTGTCATCAGTGCCTCAGATCAGCCTACCGGTGATTGTGGACTAGGTGTTGGCTGTTCTTTGGAATTGAGACCTCTCCCATCTGGGAAGCTGGAGTTGATAAGTGCCAGTGGTGGAGGAGTTGAGAAAAAGATGAACCGGGCAGAAACATGCGCGGCATCACCAGGCTTCATGGAGCACCCAGACGACAATTATTTGGTTGGTACGACAGACTTGGTCACCTTAGTTGGGACACTGGAAGATTGCCGAAGGGAATGCAATTTGCGGGCTGATTGCGGGCTCTTCGTACATGGTGAATCCATGGGCTTGCTGTACTGCTTTATTAAGCGCCTTGACGCCACTTTTGACCCGGTCAATTTGGTTGCCAGACCAGCAAGTTTCTCGAGCATCACAACCAATGTGAAAGTGGCAAGTCGGCCTGGGGCGAAAGTCACAGTCACCTTGGTTTCGGTCGTGGGCGCTTCTAGGGGTTCAGGCTTGTCCATGTCTGCTCCTTTCCAGGCTTCCGGCTTTACTTTTTCCGGATTGGAGCTCTTTACTTGCTCCGGATTGATCGAGAGTAACATCATCAGGGACGCCGGGACCACGGGGTTGGCAGCGTGTTGCATTGGCGCCCCCCCTCTGGTTGCGACGCCACGGTAGAAGTATCAGCGCCAGTTGCCTGGGCGGAGTCATCAAGTCCAGATTTGGATTTGTTTCAATGGACTTTGACCCCTGGCCGAAACATTCGCAGGACGATGACTTCCACGCTCTTAGAGGATGCATCAGGCAATCATCAGCTAAGAGTCTACCTAGTTTCCGGGCAATCAGCGGGAGCGCCGGTCACTTGGGAGGTGCCGGATTTGTCACCACCGGTACGGCTGACCAATTGCCCCATAGTTGCAGGCTGGGCGTCTTGCAACTTGGTCTGCTACTCACTCTGTACGGCGGCGCAGACAACAGGCCAAGATAATCTTGTATCGGCCTACAACATGGGAGAATATGTGGGAGAGTTGGGCATCCAGAGGCAATTTGCGAAGAAGGAACATGAAGCAAAGAAATTGTCCCAAGCTGGATTTGCTCAGGAATGTCGAGAAGCGGACATTTATGATGCAGCCGCATTGGGTCCTGCTTGTACAGAAGCCTACTCGCCTAAGGCGCTGGAATGGAGTGTTGTCGGCAATCGTATGGGCCTTCCGTCCATGACTGATTTCGAGACGGCTTTTTCCGATCTCAATGAATTGCAGAGGAGGACTCGAAAGGCGTTGACTGACTCCCTCCCTGAGGCCTGTGTGCTCATCATGGTCCTTGTCATCAACATTTGGGCTGCCTACCATCAGGTGGGAGTGGAGGCTTTGAGTGCCTGGAGCTTGCTGGTAGTGGTGGTCTTCACCTGTGCGCTCATTGCGACTCTAGGAGCCAGTGTGTCGTACTACCATGGTTTGTTTATCATTTTGTCGGTTGCCATTTCCAGTTTTTATGCGAGGCAAGGGCAAGAGCCACTCAACCCGGTTGAATGGTCCTTGGCCTTCATTGGCCTCGTCACCAACGCGTTTGCTGACCTTTCTGCGAACGATCACCTTGTTGTGATCCTCACTGCATTCGCAAACCTTGCGACGTTGGCGGCCATGGCTTTGGGTCAGACTGGCTCACGCCTTCACGCCCAGCAACAGTTGGCCAAGCTCTTCGCTCGGTATCGCCCATCGAACACAGCCGTTCGGGCTCTTGTCCGAACGCGATTCGATTACCAACTCTATGCAGTGGTGTTTCGGGTGATCAGAAGGCTTGGCCCGATTGGGTTCTTGAGCAACATACCTGTTTTTCTATCCGTTTTTTTGACGTTGTTCATTCATCTGGTGGGTTTGTATTCTTTTTGTGCTACGCTTTTGCCAGACTCGATTTGGCGCCGCTTCAAGGATGGTGAAGTGAGCTGGTCAATTTTTGGACCCTTGCATGGTGGTTCCAAGAAGTTGCATCGAGAAGCCTTGTCTAGTGGGGAAGGTGGCAACCAGGCTCGTGTGAGCCTTGTTGTGTTGACCATGATGCTTTGTCTTTTCCCTGTGACGTTGGTTCTCCTGAGCCTAGTAGTAGGTGTTCAACGGTTCAATGGAGTGGACTGGGGGGAGTCAATCAACGTGATTCAAATCAAGGCCCAAGCGGAGAGCCTAGTCCGCGCTCCGAGGGAGTTGAACATTGGGGCTTGGACTTGCCAGCCGGTGCGCTTTTGATGGTGACCAACCAAATCATTAGGCACTGCGGCTTAACGGTTGTACCGTGGGTTTATTTGAACATTGTTGGTATGGCAAAACGCCAACCGCCCACTGGTTGCTGGCTCGTTCAACCTGCAGATTCATGAAGCTAGTTGGTCTTGGTTATGCTGACGGTGACCAACTGACGAATATCAGCAGTTCTTTTTCAATCCGGTCCGGCGACTTGCCTTCAAAGACGGATTGTACAGTGTTCAGTAGCGTCAGCAACCGTATTTGGGGATGAGAGAATGGTGTAATGGCATACTGGCGCGAGCTAGCGGTGCTTTCAACCCATTTTTGGCAGCTTGTATAGTGTATAGAAATGCTGCCTGTTAAGGCATGACGCCAGCCACCCACACGTAATCACGTCAGTTAAGAGCAACAAAAAAAAGCCTCCCGTACCAAGCTGTCCATGAGCGGACAATCTCCTCGTGGCTTCCTCCACCGCCATGTCCCGCCTATGTGGATGCTGGTGGTCGTGACCTTCCTGGTCGCCTTTTCTGCCGCACCCACTGACCAGCACGAGAAGTGGGCAGTTGGTACGCTCGGTCCCAAGTCCAAGAGCCCTGACCAGCTTGAACACGTTTTCCTTTGGAGCTTCAGGGCTAGAGGTGAGGGTTGGATGATGGCCCCGCATCATCCTGGAAGGGAAT